AGTACTCTCATAACTCACAGTCTCTACAAAATGTAATTACTTGTAAAGGTTGAGTTATTGCATTTCGCGTGTTCACACAATTTTATCAATAATGTAACAGTTTTAAATTAACAAAGTATTTTGATGCGCAGAAAAGCTGTGAAAAATGAAGGATGACGTGGACGAGGATGACGCTGGCACATCCTCTCCGTATGCCGCGTCCGTATCTGAAAGCACCAATTCGTATGGGTAAGTCAAAATTGTCACATTTTGGATTGGCATGTTAATTACTTTTCCTTTATTGTGATATAACGAATGTAATATACGTAATAGGAGTACATTTTGAATTTTATTTTATTAAAAAATTCTCATTGTTATTATATAAATTAGAAATAGATTGTTTTCTATTGATTGTTAGTTAGCGAAATAATATATTTATCGCGAATTTTAAATTACATATGCAATTACATATGCAATGGTTGAGCTACAATATTTTACGCGTCGAGAACGAATCGTTTTACTGATACGCTTTTTAGCAAGAATGTATGATGTTATTTGCTAAATTTACGGCAGGAAGAGAAAAGATTTAACAAAATTAAGCATGATTAATTAAATTTTAAAGCAAAAATTACACGTATAATGTGATTATACATCAAAGTTTAAATTAGTTTATTCAAGAAAAAATACATAATAGAGATTACTTTTTACATTGAGAGAAAAATGGTTGCAGTTACTGTAATTTAACTATAATTTATAGTCATTTTCTGTGCCAATTATATTTTAAAGTGAAGAGTATACGTTAAAGTTTAAATTAGTCTATTGTAAAAAAAATATCTATAGAGATTGCTTTTTACATTGAGAGAAAAAATAGTTGCACTTATCATAATTTAATTAGAATTTATAATTTTCAATTATATATTTTTAATAAAATAGGTATAAATAATTATTATAAATATTATAGCAGTAATAAAAATTAAGTTTCTATAAATTATTTTTTATTATAATTATCTTACTATACAATTATATAGTCAAATATCAAATATATTGCTCTCAGTATAACAGATCGACGATTACGCATAAAGTAATCTGTGTACGCATGAGCGTGTTGATTCGAGAATGTGAAGAGCTATTCTATTTCACAACGAAATTACACTACAAAAGTAGAGATTACTGTTAATTTAATTATAGCTGCTTATACGAATAAAATCTGTCTAGATAATCGCTTTTGCTCTTTAAATTGTTGAACGACACGTCGAACCGTGTCAAAGCTTTTGTATCTATTATTTGAACACAGTTTTAAAATCAACGAAAAATGTTTTATCCATTTTGTGAGTTTTTTTTTTTTTAGAGAAACATCGTGCAAATTTCAAAATTTTTTAATATTTTACAATTATTTTATGCAATTCCTGTCTGTTTGAAGTGAAAAAAATATAAAATTGTATGTACAGTGCATTCCAATACAATTAATTTTCTTATTTATCAATATTTCAATAATAATATTAAAAGTTACCTCTTGATTCTAAAAATATCTAATTATTTTCCGCTATTTTATTTTTCTATATTGCCATTAAATAATTAATAATATAATTTGAATACGAAAGGCAAAATATCTTTATTAGAATACAACGTAATTTGTTACGTTGAGAAAATATAAATATCTCGGCAATCCTTATTTTTAACAATCATGATAAAACATTTCTGATTTGCATCTAGAATGAGAACGATGTAATATCTGCATGCACACAATGGACAAGTTAGTTGATATATTCGTGTCGTTTCATTACCCATATAGAAAATTATACATTAAATCGTGGCCTATATCTTATTTGTACAAATAAATATAAGAAACTAACTCAATATCTTGGACTGTATACTGCAATAAAAGGGATATAAATGAATATTTACTTTGAATAATAATAAAAAAAAGAGCGATATCTGAAAATGCAAATTATTGATATTCGTAGCGATAAATATATGTAAAATATATCACGTAAAATAAATCCTTATCGAATATTACTATGTGTGCGCGGTTACCGCGATTACTGTTTCGAGAATCACATTTGTAAATTTTATTTGCCTGTTCATTTGAAACACGAAGCATTGAAAAAAAAAATTCGCAAATATCAGTTCGTCGCATTGGGTAGATCGGTTATCCAGAAATTCAATGCTTCCGTTTGTTATACCGTTTAAAGCGAAAAGTATTATCGATATTCCTCTACATTAATGAAATTTTAACTGCGCAGTTCGTTTTTTAAACATCGACCTTTGCATTCTCTGCGTCATCAATTTAGATGGTTCTAAAAAAACGTAAGTTCCCTTTAGCACTTGTTTATGATTTTATATATCATAAAAGTCACATAAAATCTCCATAATAGCTCATTATTCGAAAGATCGAAGCCTTATCAACATCGAAAACAAATTTTTCTAATAATAAATTATCTGCTTAGGGGAAGTAGGAAATAAAAATATACTCGCGTTGTTATGTCTAATTATGATATATTGAGGTAGTATAGATATAAATATATTTATCTTATGCATCATATAACATTGTTTAATAATACAAATTAAAAATAAGAGTTTAGAAAGGCTACGAACCAAAAAATAATAAAGTAAAATAACAATGTAAGAAACAAATATAATTATCATGATCTAAATATAACAAACGTTGATTCGAACCCGATCGAGTTATCCTCAATGTTATATATAAACATAATTAAATGGAACAGATATGGTAAACTAAAATAATGTACTTAAATTAAACCAGTCAACTAATAAAATAATAAAAAGCAAATAGTCATCTATAAAATCGCATCCTGTCATCATGAATCTAATATTACGTCCACAACACTATAGTGT